GAGAGTTGGGTGTCTGGCCGCGAACTTCAGGAGAACAGATGCTGACAGTCATGCGGAGAAACACCGCATTCGGGGCCGCAGTCGGGTGTGGACGGGTCGAGCCGCTGTTGGTACTGGCGAAGGACCATGAGTAGCCACTGCGTAGTGGAGCCAGAGTACAGCCAGTGACCCTCGGGAGTTGTTGTTCGGAGGCCGCAATCGGAGTTGGATAGCTGTGCAAAAGGACTGGGGTATAGTAACTTCGTTTTTCTTCGACAACGGTTAATTAAGTAGTTTACATTCGTATATCGATTTTAGATATCCATATAAATTTAGATATATTTTTTATTGAGAAAATGCCCATTATATTCTTTCTTCTACTAATTTAATGTACAACCACGTTTTCTTCAAATTCTTTACGCGAGGAAAAACTATTTCGCTTTTAAAAAGTTTATGAGATTTTTTAGATCGTGCAATGTCCACTCAAATCGCCCTACATCTGTCCATTTCTTGATAAAAAAAAACTAATATAAATCCATTGCCTATGGGAATGTATGCTATTCCTTACATGCAAGGAATGCAGTTTGCAGGTTAAAAAGCCTCAACGCAAATGCAGAGGCAGATCAGGCGCAAAATTATTTGAGTTGGAAAACTTTTAAAACATAAATATCCACTTCATTTGAGACGTAATTTGCGACAGAATGAGTGAAAGAAAAAAAATACCCTGGTTTAGGCGTTAATAAGAGTTTTGAAGAGTCAATGTAAAATGCATACTACTTAACTAGTCCTGTTTTTCGAGTGTAGTTTTTAAGCGGCCGAAATGATGTGCCTTTAAAAGCGGGCATTCAGGCTTGTCTGAAATATCACAAGATTATGCTGCGCGCTAATAACTATTACTACCCCAATTGGGTAATCCTTACTAACCGAAAACGCGTTTCAGAATTTTGGATAACATTTAATGAGATTGGTCATTACTTGTACATGATATGGTCTTCCCCGGTTGTCGTTATATTGCGCAAAGTTCTCTCCTTGAGGCTCACTACGAATTAAACATAACAACACACAAGGCAGACGTAGACACTCAGACGGCGACATCACTCCTGGGCTTTGGTGCGAACGTGCCTTCAAGTGACTTTCTTGTACTTGTACTTTTTTCGACTGTAGTCATGCCTGATTCAGCCGGCCTCAATGATGCCACGGACAATACGTCCATGTGGGACGATTGGCGGCAGCATATCTGGAAAGCTTTGCCCATTCTCTTCTCCAGCGATGGAGGCCGAAAATACAAGGTTCAAGAACCGCTTCAATGTCTTCACGAACGGTGTCGAACCAAGTCTTGAGTTGTCCACCTCTTCGGCGCCTCCAGGTAGCCTACCGTGCCGGATCTAGGGCAGTATAACAAAGCTTGTGGGGCGGACAACGGAGAATGTGCCCAAACCACCTTATTCGTCTTTCTTGGATGGGCCGAGATAGACTCGCGATACTGTCGCAGCGAGTGTGGTGTACTTCAGTAGTGTCAGAATACTTCACTCAAAGGATGATTCTCAGGCAGCGTTGGTCAAATACCCCTAGTCTTCGCTCATCTTCCACGCGCACAGCCCAGCATTCAAATCCACAGAGGACAGACCTGACGGATGCACGGTGCACACGGATCTTCGTGGCCATGGAGATGTCGCGTCGGTTCCATAGGCGCTTGAGCATGCTCCCTCAAGTGACGCTTTAGATCATCCCAAATGCAACCATGCGTGTTAGGTGTTTTTATCATCGCTCATGAGGAACTGTAGTCCTATAGGGTAACTGCACAATCACAGTGATTCAAATTTTTTCCTTCCAGTACTGAAAAAGGTCGACTCTTTTGTTGCAAACAAGGGCTGAAATACACACCTAAACCACTTGATTATCGATCAGTTAGCATCACGGAAAGTAGGGCAGATGTCACGTCGATTCGGTAGTAAAAACCAATACGACATTTGATAAGGTTTTCACGTTTGTCAGCGTTGTCTGTACTATTTTAGTAGCGGGCGACTGCATGCAACGTAGCTGACAGGCCTGTTTCAAGTAGCGGGTGGAAGGAATCGTGATTGCTTGAGGTAGTGGGAATTATTTCCTCAGACTGGCAGCTATTCTCGTCGCCCATTGCTAACCACTAGGTCAGGGGTCGGCAAACCATGGCTCGCCAGCCACATATGGCTCTTTTGATGATCGCGTATGGCTCATTCAGAAACTTCAGATTTTATGATTTTGGTTACTCTTTAGGGGTCTAAGTAG